AGTACTTTTTATTTAAAAATAAGAAAACTCAATCCTTTGCTAATAAAATACATTTTCTTAAAAATGTTAAATATTCAAAGTTCATGGAAATATACTCATTAAATTGTGCAGTTTAATACCTCAGAACAAAGAAATTAGCTACTTCACAAAGCATAGATGGTTCCTGCATCGTTCAGGAGGAAATGGAAAGCGGAATTGGAAAGAACCAAAAAAATCTTAGTATAACATGTTGACCTAAATACTGAATATTGTCAGTTTCATATTAACCTAGAAATCGCTGTTTGTGATAATAAAAACTCATAAATACTTTATAAACTATATATCCTTAGTTCAATTTTCCTCTCATTGATGTTGACACTTTTTCACCTGTGCAATGCATGCTGGGTTGATGTAGCCAAGGTCTTACTTACTTGATGGGCATCAGCAGTTTCTTCTCTGCTGTTGCTTAGCATCATCTGGCTTCTGGTTCCATCTAAGATCAAATTAAAGGAGCAATGATGCAAAGACTGTCTTAATTAAGGTAATCTTTACCGAAAAGTTTCTGTCAATTTAATATTTACTGAATATTTTCTTTTTTATGTTCATAGGTGTTTAAAAAACAAAAAACAAAACAATCTTACTGACTTAAGATTAGGCGGTACTGATTATAATACATTGACTTTTGGATTTGGGATAAACACCACTGATTGTAATATTTTAATGTACCGTAACAAGAAAAGCGTAGTCTTTCGTACACTTTATCTTCAAAATGTGGTAGATTCTAAAGTTGTAGTTAAACTGGACAGAATTACATTAAAGGAAACCAGAGGAGAAAGGATTTATGACTGAGTTCCAATCCTGTTGTTCCAGAATATATTTTACAGCTTATTTTACTTGTTCATTACCAGCGTATTGCTGTGGTCCACCCTGGAACCAGTTTGGGTACCACTAACTGTCAGAACAGAGTCAGCAAATATAGATCAGCGGTATAAGATGCTCTTGCTGAAGAATTAATATTGTTGTATTGTGGGTTTGAACATGTTTGTTTGTCGCCTCGGTTTTGGGGTTTTTTACAAGCCGCCCACCCGCTCCCTGTGGGAGCTCTGACCACAGGACTCACTGCATGAGCTGTAAAAACTGCTGCCAGAAATGAACTCATGGCATAAAATATCCAACATAAAGTCCCTAAACTTTTTCTCTGAGCAAATCTAGAGAATGGATTTCAGGATTTTAGGTAGAGTCACCCTAATAGCATGGATAAAGTATAAGCATCTTTATTTAAGTTTTATAATATGATCAGTTTTGTATTCTTTACTCTATGACCAGAAGGTGTTTCAGGGGTTTGAAGGAAGAAAATGCATGATTACATTCATGGAATGCAAATGTCAGGTAGTCCTACCTTGAAATGCTGCTTGCACATAGCTTGAGTAAATGTCATAGTGGTTTAGAAATGAACAAAACAGAATATTGTAAATGTCTTAAATTGCCTTGAGCTGTTTAGTACATTACATTGTTTTACTGAGATTTTATGTGAACGACAAAAAAAAGTGCATAGTTCTGAAATGGAATAATTTATACATGGCGTTAAAAATAAGAATGCTAAGTCCATCATCTGCAAAGAAGATACTGGCACAGCTAGAAAACTCCCAAGGCATGACCGTCCGCTTTAAAGTAGAGTTGCAGAGATTCACAGCAAATGCAGGAGAAACATTTGACTGTTGGTGACTCTGATGAGATATATAAAGGGTTGTAAAAGGCTCAACATTGGAACCTACCTGGTCAGTGAGCATAAACATGCAGAAGTAAATTTTAAAAAAAGTAGATCAAAGCATTTATTTGTTTTTGAACTGTTAGGAAATTAAATTCTGTTATAAATTTGTGATTTAATCGACCAACTTTCAAACTGTCTTGTGTTGTTCTGTGAACATACACCAAACTGGTTAGGATTATCAAACCATTAACAATAATAAATTCACAGATCACATTTAAAATATAAGAATCTATGAACAAAAATCATTCAAATCCAAGTCAACCTTATTTCGGTTAAAATGTCTTAACTAATGTTGGTCTGTTGTATTTCTGTCCTACTGAATCCTGAGCCATTAATGTTCCGCGGTGCGTCACTTGCTGAGAGCCAGCCATATTTGATTTTTCTCATCCTCATCCCCATTTACACTGTTCAGAAAAGGATTTGCTTTTCCCAACTTATGTCTGCATCAAAGCATCATGACCTGTGTTTGACCAAGTTTTGAAACGTTAGTATTTAAGTGTTTTTGATGCCCAGATCGCATTTGGTGTGAACCCACCTTAAGAGTTTGCAAAGAAAACAAGCATGCACATTGGTCCTCAGTGTCCAAAATTAATATTGTTGCTTGTGGCAGAACAGAGTAAAAATAAGTAATAGAACAAATCGATCTACTATCTGTCAGGTCCACAGATGCTGGGTCTTAGCAAGTGTGGAATAAAGGATAGGTAAGAACTTCCATCTCTGGATGTGCAAACTTAATACAGAGATCACAAATAACTTGTAGCTGGAACTAGGGTAGGTTTGCAGTTTAAAACATACAAATTTCAAAATCACTCATGGAGGTTCTCAAGGCTCTATCTTAGGCCTCTTTTTTTCTGACATTTATGTGTAAAATGGTCTAAAAAGTCTGAGGTAGGAAGTAGAGTTGACTAGGAAAAGCTAAAAATCCCAAACCATAGAAAAACACAGACAGCCTGATTGGTTTCCAGTCATAGCTGGACAGAGGTAACAAATAACATTTAGTTATCTGTCAATGACCAGCGACTTCCTCATTCTGGATGTGTATATATATATATACACCCAGAGTGATGTTAACACAAAGGTTAACATCAACGAAAAAGAGAACACCAATGTCTTTGAGGTGGAATGTAACAATGCCATTGTTCCTGTCTCCTCAGGGTGAGAGAGGTGATGTCGGACCAGTTGGCGCCATTGGACCAAAAGGCGCTCCGGTGAGTTGAAAGTAATTTTAGGTTTTACAAAATAAACTTGTGTCCAATTGCAACAGATATACATATGATCAACCCAGACTTTATCATCTCTAGAAGGATCACAATAAAGAATGCTTCTCTAAAACTATTCTACAAACTGAGACTTGCGATGCCCATGCTTTAATAATCTAAGTGTAAAACCCATCTCAGTCACACCCCACAGCACAGATTTAATTTATAGAAAATAGTGCAGAAAAAAGTCGTTTCCAATAAATCCAAAAGGCAAAACTCTCGTTTTTGTCTTTTGCTCCTCACACCCTTTTGATGAATAGAATCTAAATATTTCCTAACATTGGATCTAATTTTGTTTGCAGTTTCTTCCAGGAATGTAAACCCAAACCACCCCCACTAATCAGACTGATGTTAGCAGGCAGCTAGTTTTATTGCGGTGTATAGTTTTTACTGTAGTATATATTGTCTTGGTTCTTACTGCCTTGTAACAAAACATAAAACTGTCTCCATGTTTGTTCCATGGAGTTGAAGATTTACTGTCTTAGACTCAGACAGAATGTAATGTTCTTAAAGAAGTCTAATGTATATTCTGTCTGTTGCTTGAAAAGTCTAAAAAAAACAGAATGCATAAATAGTATATTATTTTTGTCGATCTTGGAATTTTTACGAGTTTGGGATGTAACATTTCGTCCTCCTCAGGAGGCAGAGCAAGGTTTTAGAATGACATTTTTGTCAGGTTTGGTGGAAGTTAGTTGAGGATCCAGTTCTTGCAGATTTAATTTAAATGCAGGTGGCAACAGAAGCACAATTCCAGAAACCAAAACCAGGAGATGCAAGAGAGAAACACATATGAGGAGTGAAGCAATGAAGAGAATCTTTCAATGAGAAACTGCATGGGAGGTTTATA